GTTTTGCAAAGTAGTTAGCTCTGAGAACATAACTTTGTATGTCTCATTTTCTTCATTAGGTCCCCCTGATATCAAAGGCAGGTCCTCTATTTTCAAGGTCCACTTGCGTCCACTCAAGCTAGACCAACGCCTCACCAAAGATGCTCTTTCGAGGAAGCTAGCGGCTCTCACTCCGGGCTTCACTGGTAAGTGTTGTTGCTCAGCCACTCATCGTACAGGGCCAAGTGCAGTCAATAGTCTGTGTTGACTGGTGGGTGTCACAGCTGCCTATTTGGTCCTGGCAAACGGTCACCCTGGTCTATAGAACTTTGAACCTCCTGAAACATTTCAAAGGCTTCACATCTTCTTGACCTAAGCCTGTTGGTACCCATTTGAGTTTCTGGATTTCTAATTAGACTTAAGTCTTTACTACAGAGATGAAAAAAAACATATCTGAGGAGGATCATCTGAAGAGATGAATCATATCACACTTTAATCTTGGCTTGAACTCCCATCTGGAGTGATTGTTTGGCTTTTCCTTTTTCAAAACCTCCTCTCTGCTGCTAGGATTCTTTTTTCCTACCAGAGTGGTTTGAACCCCAGAAATGTGTGGGAACCTACGGAATGGGTTTTCTGACCTCTTTGCCTCTCCATAGCAGCCCTTTGAAGACCACAGTTGCCTCTTGGCTACTGTAGCAAGTTGTTTGCTCCACAGCTGTCTGCTTCTGCCCTGTGGGTCATTTGGCGGCGGAGCACCCTCACTCTGGTCACCTAGAGCATCCTGCTCAACTCTGGGCCCGACATGCTCACACACAGGACACATTTGTCTGTGGCCAACATGTGAAGGCCTTCTTGGTATTCTTGTCTAGAGTGTCCTTCCTGTCCCATTTTTTCACCCCTTGCAGAATTCAGGTGTCCACTTACATGCCCAGCTAAGGAACTAGAGTAAGTTAAATAAGTTACCCACCCAGACTTGAGATTTCCTTGCTGAGCCTGTGAGGGTTTTCAGTTTGGAGGACTCAACAAGAGAATCCCATGCTGTTGTGCAATAGGACCGACTTAGAACTCCCCAATAACTCACTGACCCATTCCCATGTGGACTTGAGGATGCTGCTTTGCTTCATCAAAGTGCATTTCCAGGGCTGGAGAGATGGCTCAGTGGTTAAGATTGTTTGCTGCTCTTCCAAAGGACTAGAGTTTAATTATTAGCACTCACAGTGGGTAGAGCTGTAACTCTTGCTTAGGGGATCTGATGCATTCTTCCTGGCCTCCACATACACATAAGTAAGTAATAAGATAAATTTTCAAAAACCAAGTACTTTTCCTCCCCAAGTTTTATTGTACCTAAAGGGCATAGCACAAATTTCTGTGAATACCAAGATGCTGAGGACAATAGGAACCATGTAAAGCCCCACATTAAAAGAACTGATGGTGTGTTTTCAGCGTTAGAGCTCAGCACTGACTGTGGCCCCCCAGTGGTTCTTACTGTGGAAGGCTGCTTCTCCCCCTGTATGATTTTGGATTGACCCTTGACTAGGAGATGCAACTATTTTAATCCTGGGTGTTTCCCCCAGAAAACAGCCAGCTTAAGTTTCTTTCATGGTCTCTACATATTTTGGCATTGCAATGTATCAAGAAAAATAAAAACAGATACTAAAAATTTTGGTTGATGATTTAACAGAGAACTATAAAACCTGCAGAGAAGCAGGTGTTGTATGTTCATAGAGGAAGGAAAAGTTAAAGCCCCAAGTAAATACAATATTAAGCATAATAAGCAATTTTTGTTTGTTTTGTTTTGTTTTTGGAGACAGGGTTTCTCTGTGTAGGCCTAGCTGTTCTGAAACTCATTCTGTAGACCAGACTGGACTCAAACTCAGAGATCTGCCTGCCATGTGCCATCACTGCCTGCAGTTCTTAAAATGGGCAGGTGAGAGAGCTCAAGGGATCCCACTAACCCACAGAGTAGAAAGAGAACCAGCTTCCAGTTTGTCCTCTGACCACTAACATTAGTGTGACACATTCATACACAATACATAAATAAATGTAATTTATAAAAAATATTTAAATTAAAATGGGCATAGTAGCACATGCTTTTAATCCCAGCACTTGGGAGGCAGAGGCAGGTGGATCTCTGTGAGTTTGAGGCCAGCCTGGTCTACAGAGCTAGTACCGTGACAGCCAAAGCTACATAGAAAATTCCTGTCTCAAAAAAACAAAATAAAACAAAAAAAATTTTAAATTATGTATCTTGAATATTCTCAAAGATCTAAAGAAAACATGGACAAAGAACTAAAGGAAATCAGGAAAACTGTCCCAGTAAGCAGAGTGAAGAGATGTAAGTATAGACAGGTTCAAATTAAGTCTGGAGCTGAAAAGTACTGTAAGTAGAATGTGGAATTTACTGGAGGAACAGAACAGTAGGTTTGAACAGACAGAAGAGAACCAGGAAATGTGGGGATAGGTCCAATTAAGTGTTAAGTCTGTGGAACAGAAAGAGAAGAAGATGGAGAAAAGGCAGAGCCTAAGGGACCTGTGGCAGTCCAGCACCACTTGTCGGACTTGGGGAAGGACAGACAGAGATTAATAAAGACATGATGACAAAAACTTCCCAAACTGGATAAAAGACGCGAATGCATCTGTCCATTTGTCTGTCCGTCCGTCCGTCCGTCCGTCCACCCATCCATCCATCCATCCATCCATCCATCCATCCATCCATCCATCCATCCATCCATCCATCCAAGAAACTCAGTGAACTCAAAGTAGGAATAAACACAGGCCCCCACACAATAAGACTCATAAATCAAGTATGAAAACCAAAGGTACGAGAGACTCTTAAAAGTATCAGACAAGGGGCACATACAGTTTTGGGGGTCCTCAGTGATGAGCACCTTGCTTTTGTTTAGAAACTAGAGTCCCAGAGGCACTGCTGAGCTTCTGAGGAAACCGTCAGTTAAGTGTGTTGAGACCGCCAACACTACCGTTTAAAGTGAGGAAAAATCACAGAGTATGAAGGACAGAGGACCATTTCATAGTAGATCTGCCCTGCAAGGGATGAAGGAAGCCCTTCAGGCTGAAGTGAGAGGGTGGTAGATAAGAACTTGAGGCCGTAAAGAAGAACACAGTTACAAAGGTGACTCTGTAGGTAAATGTTTGTAACTTTAAAAAACAAGGACATAAAACCAATTATAGATCTGTGTTAAAGGGCACAGTGTAGAGCAATGTTTTCATGCCTACAGATTCCACAAGGAGGAGGAAGGAGGTGAAATGAAAGCTGGAAATGGAAACACTGACTTCTGAAATTCAAGTGGAACTAGCTACAAGGGCCCCTAATAACCAAAGCAGTCTTGTAAAGGTTGAAGGACTCACACTTTGCTGTTTCAGAACTTCCCACAGAGGCACTGTAAGCAAATAGTGTGGTCCTGGCAAAGGAGACACAGTGGCCAATGGAAGAGAGATGAAAGTCCAGATAGAAGCTTTATGTCACTAATCAGATAATTTTTGACAGTTGGGAAAAGAGCCATCTCATCCACAAATGGTGTTGGGACAACTGGGTCTTCACAGGCAAGAGAATGAGGTTGGATCCTTTCTTTACCAGCTGCAAACATTAATTCAAAATGGATAAAATTTTAATTTAATAGCTTTGACTATGTGACGCTTAGAAGAAAATAGGTGAATCTTTATGACATTGAATTGCCAGTGCTTGCACAAACAAACAGAAAAATAGACATATTGATATTAAATCTTTATGTTTCAAAGGATAACACTCAGGAGAATGAATGAAAATCATGTATCTGATAAAGGTATGGTATGCAGAATATTTAAAAAGCTTTTATACCTTAGGGGAAAAAAAGGAAGTATAGTAGTACACGCCATGATCCTCACACCAGGGAGGCTATCTTGAGACTATGAGACCCTTGGAAGGACTTAAATACACAGTTCTTCAAATAATGTCCAGTAAGTACATTAAAAAAATTTTCAACATTGATTACTAGGGAAGTAAAACCACAGTGTGTTATAACTTCATTCCTGAAAGGGTGGCTATTCTAAAAGAATAAAGAGCTGAGAACAAGAATTGGAACCTCATGTTGCTAGTGGAAATATAAAACAGAAATGGTATAGCCACTACAGAAATCAGTTTGATAGTCCAGAAGCAAAACAGAGTTACCATATGACCCAGCAATTCTAATCCTATGTGTGTTTTCAAGAGAATTGAAAATGTATTTCAGACTTGAACATGCATGTTCATAGCCCCATTATTTGTAATAGTCCCTCAGTAAAACTCAGTCAGATTTCTAACAATGGATGAGTCGATCAGCAATATATGGTATATACTATATAGAACAATTTGTAGCTGTAAAAAGGAATGAAATACCAGGGGCTAGAAAGGTGGCTCAGAGACTATAGGAACACTTGCTCTTGCAGAGGACCTGGGTTGGTTGGTTCCCAGCACCCATGTGGTCACTCACAGCCACCACTCCAGTTCTGGCCTCCCTGGGCACCAAGCACCACGTGCTGTGTATTACATATATAGAGACACATACTTGTGAATTTAAAATAAATACAATTTAACAAAAAGGGCTGAGGTACTGATACAACATAGAAAAGTCTAAAAAGTAATGCTCAAAGAAAGAAGCCAGATATAAAAAGCCACATCTTACATGAATCTTTTTCCCATGAGAGTTTGGAGTTTCAGTAGAGATCCAGAAAATTCAAGTCCACAGAGGTGAAAACAGACTAGTAATTGATTGGGGTGGGAATAGGAATTAAAAATAAAAGGCATAATGTATTTCTGACGATGGAAAGTGTCTTAGAGCAGGATTGGGGCCATAGTTGAAAACTTTGGTGTCTTAGTTTCTTTTCCTGTTGCTGGGATAAAACACCCTGACAAAAGGAGCTTAAGGGAGAAGGGTTTATTTTTGTCTCAGAGTTCCGGGTTACAGTCCATCCTGATGGGAGTCGTAATGACAGGAACTTGAGGGAGCTGGTCACATCCCACCCTGGAGTGGAGAACAGTGAGTCCATGCATGTTAGTACCCACATGCTGTCTAGTGACCTTTCATTTATTATGTATACAGCATGTAAGTCTGCAGGCCAGAAGAGGGCACCAGGTCTCATTATAGACAGTTGTGAGCTACCATGTGGTTGCTGGGAATTGAACTCAGGACCTCTGGAAGAGCAGTTAGTGCTCTTAACTTCTGAGCCATCTCTCCAGCCCCTTAGTGACCTTTTTCTTGCTGTGATAAAAGACCATTACCAAAACATTTTGGGCTTCTGGCTTTAGAGTCTGTGATGGTGGAGCAAAGGCGTGGCAGTGGGAGAGAGTGAGAGCTCACATCTTAAACCACTAGTTGGAAGCAGAAAGAGCTAACTGGGAATAGTGTGGACTCTGTTGAAACCTCAAATCCCAACTCCCAGTGACACACCTCCTTCAACAAAGCCACACCTCCTAATCCTTCTCAAACAGTTCTGTCAACGGGGACCAAGTATTCAAACATACAAGCCTGTGGGGGCCATTCTCATTCAAACTACCACACAAGTCCAGAGATCTGTCCCTCGTGTGATTGCAGAGTCTTTCAGGTTGCTAATACTAACCATCACATTGGTAAGTTTACTAAAAGTTAATGTTGCATATGCCTTTATGATACATGGATTATTTCTCATGAAAATTGCATAACTAACGAGAAACTTTGATGAAGTAATTTCTGCCTACATTTTCTGCTGGAGTTTAACCTGGCTTCTACTTGAGATTTTCCTTTAATGAAGTTGATCTTGGTAGAACTCTAGCAGCCAGAAACACTGACTTTACTTTCTTTTTCTGACTCAGGTGCTGATATTTCTAATGTGTGCAATGAAGCAGCACTGATTGCTGCCCGCCATCTTAGCTCTTCTGTCCAGGAGCGGCACTTTGAGCAAGCCATCGAGAGGGTCATTGGAGGTGAGCCCACGTCCCCTGGGAAGGGACAGGCACTTTTTGGATAGCTCAGCCTCACTTCAGCATGTAAAGACATGATCAGTTTTTTTGCACCAAAATTTAGAACTAGGGTTCTCCTAGCAGCTTTCACTCCCCTCTGAATTATATGCCAGCCATTTGCAGACCTTGGGAAGCCAGAGCTAGGCGTGGATGTAGAAGACAGGAACATCTACTTGGAGGGAGGAAGAGCAGAGCTTGGATGACTGATATTTACAAGGAAAAGCCCATGCAGGCAGAGGCCGTCCCAGGACGCCGCTGCTTGAACTCTCTTGGGACAGCATTGTTAGTGACGGTTACGTGTTTCTGTCTCCAGCCGGTGTACAGGCCGTCTGGGAAGTTCATGTAGCCGCCTGGAGCAGCTCAGCTAGCTGTGCTAGCCAGGCAGGAACTGGAGTTTGGTGAATTAAGGGTCTCATAGGGCTTTGAAACTGAGAGGGTACCTCATGCTGCCATTGGCTGGTCTGGTGTGGTTCCTGGAGAAGGGAATCAGGCAGATGGTAGTACACATCCCTGTGCCAGAAACTGAAGTTTAGCGAGGTTGGCAGATATCCTTAAGCTTCATTATTGAAGTTTCCTTTTTAAAGTTTTACTGTATAGAGGAGTACATACACTCTTGAAGGCTGTCCAGTGGCTCTGGTGAGCTAATTCATCAGTCCTTGCGGTGGTGGTCTAAACAGCTCAACACATGGTGTTAACTGCTTCTCTTTGTCCTGCACCTGCGATAGGTGTGCAAATCGGACATTGAGAGCATCTCCCTTTGTCTCGACATGCATGGGTGTTGCTTCTTGACACATGACAGAAAGCGACCCTGTGCTTCTGACGCAGAAGTTCATTGGCTGGCAGTGGCTTGCTGTTTAATTTTTTTTAGATTTATTGACTGACTTTTATGTGTATGGGTATTTTGCCCACATGTTTGTCTGTGTATTATGTGTGTGCAGTGCCCACAGAGTCCAAAAGAGGGTGTCGTTCTGGGTGGTGGTGGTGCATGCCCTTTAATCCCAACACTGGGGAGGCAGAGGCAGGCGGATCTCTGAGTTTGAGGCCAGCCTGGTCTACAGAGTGAGTTCCAGGACAGCCAGGGCTACATAGAAAAACCCTGCCTCAGGTGTTGGGGGTGGTGTTAGATCCCTCTGGAACTGAGTTACACATGGTTGTTAGCTGCCGTGTGGGTGTCGGGAATCAAACCCTGGTCTTCTAGAAGAGCAGCCAGTGCTCGTAACCTGCTAAGCCACCTCTCCAGCCCTAAAAACGGCTTTCTAAAGCAGGATGGGTCAGGTTGGTTAGACTGGGTGAATGGGGTGCTCTCCAGTGCTGGGAGGTGGGTGTCACTACAGAGCAGAGAGTAGGGTGGAGCTGGTGCTCAAGGAAGGCTGTGTCTGATCCAGAGGGAGGGACAGGTTCCCGACAAGACCACGGAATGGGACATGGCCGTCAATCCAGACTGTTGGGTGCCCTTGGGGGTTTGTGGGCGGACATTTTCCCGTTTCTCACTCCTTGGACTATGGTTTGTAGGCCTTGAGAAGAAGACGCAGGTCCTACAACCCAGTGAAAAGACAACTGTAGCCTACCATGAGGCTGGGCATGCAGTGGTGGGCTGGTTCTTGGAACATGCAGATCCTCTGCTGAAGGTCAGTTTCTCAAGCTGAGGGTGTCTCCTGACGGCCTCGGCAGCCTCTAGGCCTGGGTGCCATCTCTGGCTTTCTAGGTGTCAGCCCTCACAGGAACAGCACACTCGAGACATGGCCCTTCACTCTCCTTTTTCTGTGTTTGAGAGAGGGAGAGAAGGAGGGGAGAGAGGTACAGGAGGGGGGGAGAGAGAGAGGAGAGAGGAGAAAGGAGAGAGGAGAGAGCACATGGTGGTCTGAAATGGGAGCCAATTTTCTCCTGTATGGGTTCTGGGGATTAAACTCAGGTCCTAAGCCTTGGTGGTAAGTGCCTTTACCATCTGAGCATCTCACCAGCCCTCCTTTTACTTTTCAAGGAATATGTTGGTCTATAATTTGTCCAGTTCCTTTTGGGGTGGAGAAGCAGAGCAGGAGGTATTGGCTCTGAGTGAGGCCTTGCTTAAGTCTTAAGCTTTGGATCAGACTCTTGTCAGAGTAAGTGTGTGTTTAGTTCCTGAAGAGCCTCGTAGACAGTCAGACACTGAGGCTGTGGTGTGTTACTCCTCAGGGTAACTCCGTTGGTCCCTAGTGGCTCAAACTCAGGGCTCCTGCCTCCCTCAGTCATGAGGGGGCGTGGCCAGTGTAGCTCCTGGTGGAACAGTTTGTTTGAGTCTGACAAAGACAAGGCTTTAGATTTTTTTTAAGATTAATTTTAATTTTTTTTAAAGATTTAATTTAATTTTACTTTATTTTATGTGCATTGGTCTTTTGTCCACATTCATGTCTGCTTGAGGGTGTTGGATCCCTTGGAAGTGTAGTTACAGACAGTGGTGAGCTGCCATGTGGGTGCTGGGAATTGAACCTGGGTCCTCTGGAAGAGCAGCCAGTGCTCTTAACTGCTGAGCCATCTCTCTAGCCCCTAATTTTAATTTTTTTTTAAAGATTTATTTTATTCGTGTCAGTGTTTTGCCTGCATGTTTATGTGCACCAGGTGACCGGCAGAAGAATCTCAGATGCCCTGGAACTCAACTTACGGAGTTACAGGTGGTTGTGAGCCACTGTGTGGGTGATGGGAACTGAACCTGGGTGCATTTGTTGCCAGAGCAACTAATGCTCTTAACTGTTAGCCATTTCTCCAGCCTGTATTTTTTTTAAGAGTGTATGTATGTGTGTGTGTGTGTGTGTGTGGTCGTACACATGAGTGCAGTCCTTAAAGAGTCCTGGAGGGGGGCCATCTGATCGGGGGCTGGAGTTCCAGGATGGTTGTAAGCCACCTGATACCTGATGTGAGTGCTGGGAACTGAACTTGGGTTTTCTGCAAGAGCAGTCCATGCTCTTGACTTCTGAGCCATTTCTTCAGCTCCAGGCTCTTATTTTTCAGGTGTCCATCATCCCTCGGGGCAAGGGGCTTGGCTACGCCCAGTACCTTCCCCGTGAGCAGTACCTCTACACACGGGAGCAGCTCTTCGACCGCATGTGCATGATGCTGGGGGGTAGGGTGGCTGAGCAGCTCTTCTTTGGCCAGATCACCACAGGGGCTCAGGATGATCTGAGGAAGGTCACCCAGAGTGCCTATGCCCAGGTAAGCAGCAGTGTCCTAGTGTGTGACTCTGCCAGTTGCATTGGACACAACTAACCCTAGGCTCCTCCTCTACTTCAGATTGTGCAGTTTGGAATGAGTGAGAAGCTAGGCCAGGTATCCTTTGACCTCCCCAGACAAGGAGAAACCATGGTGGAAAAGCCATACAGTGAAGCAACTGCCCAACTCATTGATGAGGAAGTCCGGTGCCTTATCAGGTCTGCCTATGCTCGGACCCTGGAGCTGCTCACGCAGTGCCGGGAGCAGGTAGAGAAGGTGAGTGGGTCTTCACTCAGAGAGAGCCAGGTCATGGGTCCCAGGTGGGGCATGGTCAAGCCATGCTGATCTTTGTGGGCCTACTTAGGTTAGGTTATGTCCTGCATCAGGACCACTAGTCCATCCCTGTCCTGGGCACAGCAGCCTGATGGGTAACTCTCCTTTTCAGGTGAGCAGGCGACTCCTGGAGAAGGAAGTGCTGGAGAAGGCCGACATGATAGAGCTCCTGGGCCCTCGGCCCTTTGCAGAGAAGTCCACCTATGAGGAGTTTGTAGAGGGCACCGGCAGCCTGGAGGAGGACACAGACCTCCCTGAGGGGCTGAAAGACTGGAATCAGGGACGGGAGGAAGGAGGCACTGAACGGTGCTTACAGGAGAGCCCTGCATAGCTGTGGCCTGTGGGTGGCCGCTGTGACCACTGCTGACGGGTTGCTGCTCAGCCTTTTTGGAGCAGCCGTCAGAGTAACTGGAAAACAAATTAAAACAGGGACAGCTGCAAAGGTGAGACCGTTCAGAATCCACACAGGAGGGGGCTGGGGCCTGGCAGCATCCAGCAAGGGAGTAGCTGAGGCATCAGAGGTATAGCCTGAGGCCCCAGCCCTGAACCTAGAGGTCTGTCAGTTCAGTTCAGATAGGAGAGGGAGTTGGACGCCGGTTTCTATGAAGCCATGAGTGTGTGTTGTCTTTTTGGGGATTCTGTGTGTAGGGCCACTAGGAGCCATATCACACTTCCAGTAGACACAGGACTGATGGAGTTTCCAAGTGTGCTGCAGCCTTACAGCTGCCTCTGAGGTGGTTGCTCAGAGGATGCGTGTTGAACCAACACAGATGAAGTTTGGTGAAGAATTAATGAAAATGTAAACCAGTTATCAAGGGAAGGCTAGCTTCTTAAGCTGATCAGTCCTCAGGAAAGAAAGCCAGCAGACCTGCAGATCTCTGGCTAAGGAGAGAAGTGTGGCCATTCCTGGCCTTGGTGGCAACGTCAGAAATTTTATCAGTCAGTCCTGGAGCCTAGCCTTGGGAATTGTCTGCTTCACTGGTGGAGTGTCAGATTTAATTCCATTTTACAGCAATCCTCTCCCCAGCACCTTCCCCCTTTCCTTTTTGAATCTCTAAAAGGGTTGTTTTGGGCTGAGCCCTCTGTCTCTGGTGCCTATTTATCAACCATTTTGTTGTAGGACAGCTCTTGATTAAAGGAAGGGCTTTGTGAGTCCAAGCCTCGTTGGGCTAAAAGAGGCATCTTTTTCCTGTTGATCCTGGGGTGTGGTGAGGCCTGCATTCAGACCTCAATGCTTGGGGTCCTGGAGTTCCATGAGAGTGTTCTCGAGTACCTCCTCCAGGACTCCCTGGGAGCACCATCAGCTGCATCAGCCCGCTCTTCAAGTCTGCTCATGGCCTGGGGAGGAATCCATTGGCTCCCTTGGCTTTTTAAAGGTTTTTGTATGTGTGCCTACAGGTGTTCATGTGTGTACATATGCATGTGTGCATATGATTACATGTGTGCATATGATTATGTGGAGGCCAGAGGTTGACATGGTGTGTTTCCCTCGATTGCTTTCTATCTTGATTTTTTTTCCCATTTATTTAGTTGTGCTTGTGTCTGCACATGCATGTCCACACACACATATGCACCCTGGTACACATGTGTAGGTCAGAGGACAACTTGTGAGAGTCAGTCTCTCCTTCCACTGTGTGGGTCCCAACAGTCATCAAGCTTGGCAGCAAGTGCCTTTACCCACTGAGCCATCTTGCCAGCCAATCTGCCTTGTTTTTTGAGATGGGGTCTCTTACTGAACTTGGCTAGATTTGCAGGCGTGCATTTGTACCAGCAGCTCTAGGGATCCTCCGGTCTCTGCCTCCCGGTGCTGGGATTACAGGCATGCATTTGTGCCTGGCTTTGATGTGGATGATGGGGAACTGTACTTGGATTTTCATACTTGTGCAGCGAGCACTTTAGCAGCTGAATTCTCTCCAGCCCTTTAACTGATGTTGATGGGCTTCCTGGGTGACTAGTCAGGAGAGTGGAGACCTGCTCTCTGCCTCTTAAACCTTTTTATCCTTCACTTTTCTTTGGGGCCTGGTTAAAGAGCAGACACACTGGGTATACATAGTATGGTACATTTTCTAAATTGTATTTGCCTCAGAAATTTTATCAGGGGACAGACACTTTCCACTTTTGCTGTTTGTAAAATGTACTTTATTAAATTTTTAAAAATGTTTTTTAATTTCTAATTTCATAAGTATGGGAGTTTTGGCTGCATGTATGTATGTATTATGCATGTATGTATGTGCACCATGTGCTTGCAATACCCATTGGATCCCCTGGAGCTGGAGCTATAGGCAGTTGTGAGCCCCTGTGTGTTTGCTGGGAATTGAACCCAGGGCCTCTGGAAGAACAGCTGGTGCTCTTAACTGCTGAGCCATCTCTCCAGCCCCACATTATTGAATTCATTTTAAATATATGAATTTTTAAATTCTTTGGGGCTCACAGGTGGATTTCTGTGAGTTCAAGGCCAGCCTGGTCTACAGATTGAGATCCAGGACAGGGTCCGAAACTATACAGAGAAACCCTGTCACGGAAAGAAAAAAATCTTTGGGGCTCAATGTGTATATCATGATCTCAACCAAATCATTATTCACTGAGCTACTTAGGGTCCTAGAGGTCTTGTCGTAGGTTCCCTCTGATGAAGTGGGGACGATTCCTTGGCCCCAGAAAGCCTATGACATTGTAGACTCTGGCAGAGACTCTAGGGCCAGCATTGTCACAGGGTTATTGGAGGTTGCTACTTTGGCTTATCTGTGGGACTCTTTTCCAAAGTCACTGACCAGTGGTGGGGTAGGGTGGGCTGGTCCTGAGGCAGATCTACAGTGTCAGAGCCTGCCATCAGAGCATGTGGTAGGCTATGGGGATGGAGGAGCTGGACAGTGGCATGTGGAGGACAGGCAGTGTACGCCTCTGGAAGACTGGAATTACCATCGACCCTAACCACTGCTCAGCAGACCACAATGACCTCCTACCCTTTGAGGTGATCTGGGAGCAGGGCTCCTGTGCACCCCAGGTCCTGAGGTGTCAACATACTTCTAGCCACACTTGGGCTGCACCTCCCATCCTGTTCGGTCAGTGTCCCTGTGGAGGTTTGCCACCCCACATTTTCACTTTGATCCAGATCCAAACTCACGGAGATCCGCCTGTGAGCCCCGTGCTCTGGAGAGCTACAGCACCCTCTTGCTCTGCTGGTCCTTTATCACTGGAATCCATTTTCCTGTTTTACGTGACTTAAGGGGTGTGTCACGACACTCCATTTCTAGACAGCAGAACAGGTAACACCATATTGGTGCTGCTCCGCCTGTCATGGAAACCTGAAAGTATGCTAGCAGGTAAAGGCCAGCAAGGGATGTGCGCCAGGCATCCTTCCCTGCTCAGAACTAAGAGCCACTAAGATTGGCAGGGCTTCTCCCTGCCTGCCTCCCTCTCGGGGAAGGGAAAGGGGACATGGGTGTTTAGAATGTGCCAGGAATCACACCGTTCCCAGAAAATGTATACAGTAGCCCTGGCTGCCAACATAAAGACCTGAGGTGACTGCCCATGTGGAAAGTTATGGTCATTTGAGCCTGCAGGAAAGTGGTCACTCCTGGCTGGCTTCATCATCACCTCACTTCACTGGTTAATTTAAGCAGCAAGGTTTGGGCTTCCCTGTGGCTTTTGGGCAGAGTGTTTCGGTTCAGGCCACCTTTGTTGTCTGGAAGAATTGGCAGGATTTTATTTCTTACTTAGAGACTAGAAATTCAGGGCACCTGCCCCTAAAATGCCGCTCAAATAAATCCAGCCTAGAACAGTACAGGAGAACCCCAGTGGCACTTTGATACCAGCTAGAAGGGCCACTGGTCCAAAGATGGCGAGGCTTTAATGCCACTCCGTAAATGTGCCCCATGGAAGCTCCAGCGGAAGAGTGGGTGGTGGGGGTAAGACCCTGGTAGGTTGGAGCGTGGCCAAGGGTACACAGCTACCTTGGGATTAAAAGGCAGCTGCTGGGTTGTGTCCTTTGGAAACCAGGGTTGGTTTTCATTTCAGGAGACAGGCAGAAATAACCCACATTGAAGGGTCAACAGTGCAGAGGCAGGGTGGCTCTGAAGTGCGAGCATCCTGGATGCTGCTCCCACCCCGCAGAAGAATCCCAGGGCATTTTTTCCCCAGTAGCATTCACTGCAAACGAAGATCAAAAGCCTTGTCTTCCGCAGAAGACAGTGGGCAGCAGGCAGGTTGGCCTGGGGACAGAAAGCAAGTAAACCTTTATTTCAAAACCAGTCTTTGATTCATGGTCAGAGCAGCAGTCCGTTTCGTCTTTGAGCACATGAAAGTCGTGTTGGGACATCTAAACTGAGTGTCCAACGTCTCACAGCAGAGGGGGTGGCTAGATTGGCCCTGCCTCCCCAAGCTGCTCCCAAGACATCCACAGTGTCAGAGCTTCCCAACTGAGCATTTGACAGGCTATGTGGGTGGCTGAGCTAGGCAATGGGATGAGGAGGACAGGCACAGTGTATGCCCTTAGGAGAGAGAGAGACAGGAATGGGGAGCCAGTACTCTGTACCTCCGAGCAATGTGGGAGTTGTCACTGAGGTTTGGTGTTCTGAAGTAAGGAAGACATAGGACAATTTCTCAGCCTTTGAGCTGTCACACAGACCGAGAGAGGCAGGCCCGGGGAGAAGACTAGAAACAGTGCTACCTGCCCAGGGCAGAGGAAGGGTGCACATTTTAAGGTGGAAGTTTTAGGGAAGTAAACCTGTCCTCACCACTTGGCTGGACAGCAGAGCCAACCCATGAGTGACCACCAAATCCACTTTGGGCTTATGAGCTCACTGAGGTTGGATGTACACCCTCCAGGTTCCTGGGCAACTCTCGTGGGCTTGGATCTCCGTACGTTGAACCTATTTGGAATCTCACAAGAGACAAAAAGTCTTGTCCTAGAGACAAGTTTTTAGAAGACCGAAGCCACCGTTATCCACTCCATTCCTCCTCTCATCCCAAGGCAGAGATTCCATACAGTGTCATCCCTGATTCAGGGTCCAGGAACCAGCTGGACCTAAGGCCACTGGGCTGTGCTTGTGCTGGGGTGCCCAGAGGCCTTGCCTGGCACCCAGACTTTGACCTGTTGTCAGGTGATGGCTGGAGTCTTGGAGTTGACAGAGTGCATCTCTTGTGACAGTGGTGTCCTGATTTGCCATCACGGTGGTCTGGCCCAGCCCTTCAGCAACTCTCGAACAGATGGAGTTGGGCTAATCTTCCTTGGGCCCCTCCACAGTGAGGAACGTGTCCACAACTGTGCCTTGCCGTTCCGGGTCACTGGGGGGCTGTTTCTCACGGTTCTGCTCCGCCCTTGCTTTTGTCCAGGAGGGGGAGCGTAGGCAGCCAGCTCGAGGTAGTGGGTGCAGACCTGGTGAAAACACAGAGTCTAGAGTTGAGTAAAATTGGGGGGCAGGGGCTGAGGCTCCACACTGTGCCTCTGCCAACCTTGTTGATAAGGCTTCTGGGTGTCTGTCACAGTACTGAAGATTTTATGTGATCGCCAAGGGCTTTTCTGATGTCCCTAGGAGTCACTGGAGTCAAGTCAAGTTTTTTTGTTTTTGTTCTTTAATTTATTTGTTTTTTGAGACAAGGTCTCACTATATAGTTTTGGCTGGACTGGAACTTACAACACAGACCAGGCTGGCCTCAAACTCAAGAGATCCACCTGGCTCTGCCTGCCGAGTGCTGGGATTAAAGCCATGCACCACGATGCCTGGCTCAAGACTGTCTTCCCTATCCCCTATGTGAACCTGATAGGGCACTCACTACCAAAGCCTTGACTTCCTAAGGGCCTTAGTACAGCTAGGGCCCTGCAAGCCTGATCGTCTCTGCCCTATCATGAGACTTCAGCCCCTTTCCTGGGTGCAGGCTGTATGGGGCTAGGGGTAGAGGTGGAGTTGAGTTCCCCACTCTTCTTGTCCAGCCAGAGCTGTCATGGGGCATTCCTGACTCAACGCGCACACGCACGCATGCACACACACACACACACACACACACACACGCACGCACGCACGCACGCACGCACGCACGCACGCACGCACACGCAGGCTTGAAGGGAAGGTAGAGCTAAGGAATGCCACCAGGATCAGGCAGAGCTCCATTTTGCAGGAAAGATGGGACAAGAATACCCATGAGGTGGAGCCAGGGTCCCCCTTCATGTAGCTGTCCTATCTCAGAGCCCACAGCTCCCCTGATATATATAGGCTACACCACCAACCTCCAGGAAGCTTGTGAGCAGCTCCTTCAGAGCCTCCCTGGGGCTGGTGGTACCTTAACTAGGATAGTGACCTCCCAGCACTTGGTGGGGCAGACAAAGGTGGACCTCTGAGTTTAAGAGCAACAGGCTACCCGGTGAGACCTTGTCTCAAAAAGAGAAAAAGGGTGGTAACTGACTCTCAGGAGGTCCTTGGTGTGTAGGTCTTATCCCAGGTCATGTGTGCATGTTCTGACTTGGGGGTAGGGGTGTGGCTCAGCTCCTTTGATTTTCCTACCCCACAACACAAAGTGGACAGCTGAAGGTCACCTTGGCATCTTTTTTAAAATGTTGGGAGACCAGGTGTGGTGGTGACTTTAGTCCCAGTACTTGGGAGGCAGAGGCAGTTGAATCTCCGGAGTTTGAAGCTACCTTGGTCTACAAAGAGAGGTCAACCATGTCTTTTGTTTTGTTTTTCTAGACAGGGTTTCACTGTGTAGTTCTGGCTCTCCTGGAATTTATTTGGTAGACCAGGTAACCTTGAACTCAAGAGATCTGCCTGCCTCTGCCTCCTGAGTGCTGGGATTAAAGGTGTGCGCTACCACCGCCCAGTGAGACCATGTCTTTAAAAAACAAAAAACAGCACTTTATTCTCAGTACCCAGGAGATAGAAGCAGGCAGATCTGAGTTTGAGGCCAGCCTGGTCTATATAGTAAATTCCAGCACAGCCAGGACTATACAGAGAAACCCTGCCTAGAAAAACCAAAAGTTTTTTTTTTTTTTTTAAATTGGAGACTGATTGAAGGCTTTGTCCCCAATTAGGATTTGTGGCAAACCGTATGTTCTGGCCATAGGGATTGGAACATTCCCTGCTGGCATGGGGTTCAGGAGAGCATGGGAAGATGGTGAGGCTGTGGTCTTCCCCACACAGCCGGCTCCAGGTGATAGCACCCTTCCAGAGG